AAGAGACTTTTTAAAAATCAGATTTCTTTGACACTGAACTATAAATTACAAATCACCCTCTGCTATTAATTCACAATGTGAGGAAATCAACTTGGAGCTTCATGTATGTTTTACTTTTGAAGATTTAATTTGTATATTTCCTATCTGTATTCTTTTACAATATAATGGTATAATTTTTACTCTAATATTAAGTAGTCAAGTGGCTTAATTTTTTTTTAAAAAAATATTTATTTTAAGAGAGAGAGAGACAGCAAGTGAGTGGGGAAGGGGTGGAGAGAGAAGGAGAGAAAAATCCCAAGCAGGCTCTGCATGTCAGCACAGAGCCCAATGAGGGGATTGATACCACAAACTGTGAGATCATGACCTGAGCCAAAACTAAGAGTTGGATACTTAACAAACTGAGCCACCCAGGTGCCCCAAGTTGCTTAATTTTTTTAAATGGCTACATTTTATAATTTTTTAAACATTTATAGTTGTCATTTTAACTTCCTTTTTTTTGCCTAATATAATTCACTTAGTAAAAATTACTTTTATTTCAGAATAGTGACAGCCCACTTTTCTGAACTGAGAACTTATGGTAAAAGAGAACAGAAGCTTAATCTCAAGTATGTAATTTTGAATTCAAGGTATAGAAATCTGAAAAGCTAACTTATTCAAATTTCTGGTCCTTATTCCCTTTCTGGGAACAATATTTCAATCACTGTATGTCTAAGGTTTGATCTGATCTTCCTAAGTTCAAAACTAAGTTCTCCTAGGTTCACAAAATGTTGTTACAACCTCCTACCTAATTTGTGGTGCTTTGTTGCTGCAATTAAAATCCCAAATTCTAATCTCAGTTAAAAATAAACTATTATATCACATTTTATTCACATTATTCATCAAGCAATCAACATTTATTGAGAACCAGCTACTGTATGTGCAAGGGCCAAACTTAAATTTAACATCCTGAGGCATAAATTGTCTTTATTTCAGGTCTCCAGAGACCAAGGTTCAAATAGATAAACATATTGCTTTGATCATGATCATCACCTCCTACAAGTCCCCTTTATTTGCTCCATCCTTCATCCTATTCTACATATTCTTGCTTGAGTTCAGGGGACATTTATTGCTTATTGGCTGCTCAGTACCCTTTCCCTTTTCTATTTGCGATAGACCCCCAATTTCTTTGAAGGAGAACAACCTCTCTCTCACTGTGGGGGGTTTTGGAAGGAGATGGTTTTAAAGCCAAGTTCTCCGCTCTCCCTTAGCTAAGAGTTGGGTGAGCTAAGAGTTGGGTGCGTGACCCAAGCAAGGTCAACTGGATTCCCTTTTCCAGGACTTTGCATTATGAACAGTTATGCAGTATGCAAATAAAAGAGGGTTGTGAAGATAGTCTTGAGTAGTTCTTACAGACCAGATGGCCAGGAATGCTCAGAAAACTTGTCTTTTTCTAAGCCTTTTTCCACTGACTCCATGCCAGCACCAGCACATTGACTTTGTGCTTGATTTAATCAGATGATGTTTTCTGTTGCTTACATCCAGAGAACCCTATTGATATTCAACTAAACTACATTGGATGATTTTACCTCTTTATTTAAAATCCTTTCAGCATTGCTACTGCCTGCAGGCTATAATCAAAACCCCTTGTTCTAGCAAGGAAAGATCCTTAGTTTTTAGCCCTATCTCTCCCTATGCAACCTCATCAATTTCTTCCTCACCCCCTTAATTTTAGCCATATGGAATAGTAATTTATATAACACACTAGGCTGTTTTTCTGCCTCAGTGAAAAGTGTGGCTTGTTTCTTCTGCCAGGATTACCTTTCCATTTTTATTTATCTGATTAATTCCAGCTTGTCCTTTAATACTTGACTTGAATTTTATCTTCTTCAAGAAGATTTTGCTGACAAGAGAAGCTGTTTTCTCTTCCCTGGCACAGTCAGACATCCTCTTCCTGAAGTAAGTCCCTAGAGCATCCCCCAGCCATGCCCAAGGGGGTAAAAAACTACGGTGGTTAAGGGTAGGAATACTGGAACCAGACTGCTTGAGTTCAAATTCTCTTGCTGTCTCTTTACTACTTGGCTTTAGGCAGGTTATTTAACCTCACTGTGCTTTACCATCAATCTCAGAGTGTTGTTGTGAGCGTTAAGTAATACATGTGAAGTACTTAAAAGTGACTAGCATATGATTAGTGTTAAATACATGCTAGGTATTATCCTGAAATTTATTTGTATCATAGTGCTATTATTGCTCTTTTTCCTTCATCTACTCTAATCTGTGCATTCCTATCTTGTCCAACTCTGTATTTCCAAGGCACTTAGTAGTAGCTCAATAAAATTTTGTTAAATGAATATATGAATAAATTGGCACTGACAGTGTTTTATAATCTACAAAGTCCTTTTGGAATATTACCTTCAAATATTAAAGTAAGGACTGTTTTATTTAAAATTTTACATAGAGAAAAATGTTCCCTGATAGCATAATAAATACTTACACATACACACACACTTACACTCACACTTGTTTAATGTTTATTTAGAGTCATTTCACTGGCCATTTAGTGATTTAAAGCTATAAAAGGCAAGAACTGGCAATACCTTTATAAATTAGTCTTTTATTATATAGCTTATTTTTTATAAATTGTTTTTATTACTTTTTTAATATGAGAAGTAGGAAAAGCACTCTACTATTCAGCAAAAGAAGAGAATAATACATATACTTATATATCTAATATTTATATGTATATTTACCTATATAGATATGATATACATGATATCATACATGATGATATGATATACATCCCCCCCTCTCTCCTGTGTGTGTGTGTGTGTGTGTGTGTGTGTGTGTGTGTATTTAAAAATTCCTGGCTTTCTGTGATGCTAGGCATGGCACTTCAGCTTCTGTGAAGTAATTTTGGATATGTATTAAAAGATTATCATTTTGAAGAGGCATCAAATTAGTAGTCATTTCTGAAAAAGACAAACTTATATTTCTGAAGACTACTGAGCAGGTCAATTCTAAAGCAGATCCTAAATGCAAGGATCACAAACTCTTCACAGGGGAATGTGGACTTCCTCTTCCACTCTAACACCTAGTGGCTTTTAAAGGAGGCCATAATGCCAATGGCAGAATGGGCTGTACATGTGGAAATAAGCTCTTATTTTCATGTAATATTATTATAGGACAGACCGTCTGCATCATAGAAATGCAGTGAGGAGGCAGATTTATAAGCTAATATTAATTACTAACATTAGTTGAGGACTTTCAGTAAGCAAGGCAGGATAGGAAGCATTTTCCATGTACTTCATGGAATTTAATCTTCATGACAACTTAAAATGCAAATATAGTATCATTATCCACAGTGTACAGGTAAACTCAGCTTCAGGGAGGTTGAATAACATACCAAAGGTCACACGACTGTAGTAGAAGGGTCAAGCTTTGAAACCAGATGGTCTTATTCCAAGGCCCTTGCTTTACTTATTTTTTTAAAAATTTTTCCCCCAAGGCCCTTGCTTTAAACATTGTAACATGTTGTTTCTTCTGGTTAGTAACAGAGTTACTTGGAAGCATTGGTAGAACTCAACATGCTACTGTGAAAGAATATATCTCTTATGTCTGTATGCATCAGCACACTGAAATTGGAAATGCTTAGCACTGTGTCTGGCATAGACTATGTATATAAAAACATATATGTCACTAAATGGTAGCCACACTTACCTGAATGCTGGCAAGCAGCATATGTAATAAGTAAGAGTGTTTAGGCTTAGGAACAAAACAGACTTGGATTTGAACTTTTGCTCTGCTACTTACTAGGAGCATGACATTTCAATGGCATATGCTGAAGAATGTACCTACTAATACCTGTTATAAAGGAGTAGTAAAAAAAAATTATACATATTTATATACTAGTTACATATCCTTATATACACACATATCCATCACTATGTGGAGAATATGAATGTGAATCTGTGTGTCCTGTGCTCAGAAAAGGAAACCAAGGCCCAGAGAATGATTTGACCACAATCATGTTATTTGCAAATAACAGAAAGAACACTTAATTCAGGTGTCCTGAGTCTAAAATCAAGGTACTTCAGGTGCAAATTCTTTCCTATCCACCTATTTTTATTCTTACTGAATTGCTAAAGTTCACTTTAAAAAGAAACCTGTCTGCCTTACTCCTTCTTTTTTCAAAACGTAGCTGTGTACTAACTAAATACGTTCAAAAAAATTTATTACTTCTGTAGAAAAGATTTGAGAATCACTTACCAGTGAAATAACTACAGCACATAAACATTTCAAAATCATTTTTCTTCTTCATTCAGAAATATAAAAGATATATAGTGTATTTGTTCTAGCTAAGTCAACCAGATTTATATCAATGGATTCCTATGTTTCTAACTGATGTCAGGATTTTGCAGAATGGATTCCAAGGGGCTGATAAATGCAATCTTTGTATTAAAAACATGTTTATTTGACTATGGCATTGTATAAATACCAATATTAACATCTGAAGTATTGAAAAATATATTATGTTTGGTACTTTTCTTTTCTAAAAAATTTATAGCTTTCAATTATATTTATCATTGAAGGAGGGAAATTGACCCAGACAACGGAAAAGAGTGAATAACCAATTCCCCGTTTATTATATTTGATTCTGTAATATATTATGGCTGAAAGCTCCCAAAACAAACAGTTTAAATGTAAAGAGCTTAGCTGAACTAGTTATTAAATAGATTTTTAAAATTCTATTTGTTTGGTGATTTTAATTAAGCCAATTGTACTTATAAAGTTTATGCTTTTTTTTCTTTGTATCATTCCATTTTAATTTATGGCTGTTTTAGATAATGGCATTAACTTTTTGTCTTGATCATATTCAGGCTGAACAGAGTAGAGATGGTGTGTTGCTGACAGAGAAAAGCTGCCTAAAACCTGGTGGGAAAAGGGTCTAGGAGAGTAAATGGACATGTGGAAAATTTTCACTTTAAGTCACAAATTCAACCAGCTTTTAGTTTTTTTCCTCATACCTTCTGCTTGATGATCATCTCGTTGATGTCTTCAAGATCACCCACCATCACCCTCTGTGACTTTATAACTCGATCAAGCAGAGACAGCCAGTCGGTAAGTTCGGTCCAAGCTCTGTTGAAATCTGCCAGAGCAGGTACCTCCAACAGCAAGGATGATGGCATTTCTAGTTTGGAGATGGCAGTTTCCTTGGTAACCACGGGTTGTGTCACCAGAGTAACAGTCTGACTAGGAGCTAATTTTTTAATTCAAAAAGAAAAAAAGAACAGAAAAGAAAAATTAGAAACACAAGCAAAGAAGCCAATTTCGATAACAACAGAACAAGCTTAATTAAAGTATAACAATTTGAGCCAAAGTATTATTTATGACAATCTATTTTTTCCTGACAATGTGAATACTTTACACAGTACTACCTAATAGGATAATTCAAAGACTCAAACTTCTCATTGATATACACTGAACAATCTTTCAAAATGATTTTGCTTATTCTAATGGCTGGACAGTTAATTTAATTTAAATAGTCCTCAAATAATAATTATATAGACTGCAGAATTGGTTAAAAAGAAAGTATTCACATCTTACCAAGTGAATAACTTTTACTTATTTTTTCTCATTCAAGGAAAAATAAAAGCAAAAGTAAAGTTTGGATAAGATCTTATTTCCTTGAATACGAAGTAAACTACTTTGGAGGTGGACCCTAGCAAAATCAAAGCCAATGAAATGTTTTTGTGTTTGCTCTGTATTTTAATTTGGGAACAGTTTATCATATTATTTTTCCTCTTCTTTCAGACTGGTCATAATATGACTAGAGTGGAGAAAACCCAAACTACGTTTTTTTTTTGTTTTTTGTTTTTTGGGTTTTTTTTTTTTTAAATCATAAGTAATAAAGTTTTTCTATTTGGATATAAAACACTTTTTCAAGGTTATTAAGAAATATTTAAAAACATTAATATTAAATAAATACTAGTAGTGTGGAGCTCTATTATACAAGATGGCACATGATAGTGGGTAAAATCCAAAGATTTTGAGTTAAAAAAAAAAAACCCTTCTTTCTGCCACAGATGCTCTGCGACCTTGGCTAAATTACTTAACCTCTTGAAGCTTCAGGTTTTCTCCTCAGTAAAGAAGGGATAATAATAGAGTAAATGTTATAGGAGCAGTTGTGTGAATTCAATGACTAATATATGAAAAGTACATAGAACACAGCCAGAAAATAACAATAATATTAGCACAGTTTCTGACACTGGTAGGTAATAATGTTAGGTATTACTGTTTTTATAAATACTTGACAAAAAAGAAACAGAGTGATGAACAAATATAGTGAGAAGTTGGAGTTAAACGGTAGAAATATGTGAAATATTTGGGGAAAACTCAAAGGTCTGTATGTGGTTCTGTATTTACTAATGGGGGCTGATCTCATTGGTGTGAAATGATACTAAAACCCACAAACAGTTGGGATATGGAAGCTAAGCGATGAAGGGTACAGAATGCCTCATCTAGTTTAAAGTCCGTGGCCTCTGAAACTTAGTACATCCAGAAGACCAGCAACAAAGAAATAGTGGATGACATAGTCTAAAGGGAAGCTTCGAGAGAAAGCTGCAAATGACAACATCTCAACAGGAGACCCAAGAATCATGGAAATGGAGGGAAATGTTGTAGGATCATGACAAAGTGTGTTATGTGGGCATTCCATTCCAAGGTGGTCATACATCAATTTTCATGGCTGTGTTACTTCCTGTACTTTTAAGGTTGTCTTTTTGCTGGAGAATATGATGAGAGAGATGGAGGGCTGTCTCCTGTCTCTCAAGCTTCTCAGGGACAATAAGAGTTTCCTACAGAAGAACGAAATTCTGTGAATGAGGCAGAAAGAAAGAAAAAAAATGTAAGGTGTCAGAATCAAAACTAATGTCAAGACATAATGACTGAAAAAACAATGATACTGAGGAGGAAAATAAATTGTTTCTTGAATCTATCTCGCTACTCTTAGGCTCTTTCTAGAAAGAATGACATCTAATCTGCAGCAGAAATAGAATCTTGTGATCCAACACTCTAGTAGGAAGCCTGGGGGCCAAGAACTAAAAATCTTAAAAGCGATTCCAAGAGATGAGGTGAATCCCTGAAGAGGATGTATGGGTGAGGAGGAAAAAAAGAAAAAGCTAAATTAAAACATCACTGTGGGAGCTAACTGCTGAATGCCCAGCTGACTAGAAAATGTGGACAAATTGTCCTGAAAATAGATACACAACAGATACAGTACTTTGGGATGGTTTCAAGCTTCTGGGAAGTGTCAGACAATTTTTTTTTAACTTGACTCATTGAAAATTTGACCCTCAAAAGACCAGGAAGGACATTTGTTTTTTTCTAGATTTATTTCTGACCAACAAAGAAGTGCTTTAGGAAGTGGAAATGGTCGTGTCATCTTAAATCTCCATACAGTGAAAGATGAGAATACAGGGAATTATCAGATTTCAATTGTTTTGGGGGGAAAAAAAGCTACTGAAAAGAAAGGCTGGGGCCAGAGACTTCAAAAACAGAGAATGATTCAAGATGATTAAAAAGTACATGGGGCGCCTGGGTGGCTCAATTGATTAAGCATCTGACTTTGGCTCAAGTCATGATCTGGTGGTTGGTAGGTTCCAGCCCCACATCAGGCTCTGTACTGTCAGCTCAGAGCCTGGAGCCTGCTTTGGATATGCTTTCTCTGCTTCTCCCCTGCTCATGCTCTCTCTCTCAAAAATAAATAAACATTAAAACAAAATTTTTTAAAAAAGTGTAGAGAAATGACATTGGGATAATAATACCACAAAGTTCTCTAATGAGGGGGAAAAAAGAAGTAATACCAAGTACGAAGTCAGCTGAAACAGATTTAGAGGAAGGTTGACAGGTCAGCAATGTAGCCATGTGTGTACCAGCCATGGGCAGATGATCTTATTTATGGACCAGTTAGGCCCTTCATTGCTGCTCTGCTCTCCCCCAGCACTCAACATCTGAAAACACTTAGATCACAGTGGGAAACAGAGGGGAAATTGGGTCCCCTGTGGTCACTGCTCTAGTCCCCGTCCTGTGTACAGGTCATGGAATACAGTAGGTGCTCCAATGATACCCTCTGAATAAATGAATGAATCTAAAAACACAAATCCATGCACATTAAGCTTTTCAGTAAACTTAGGGGTCTTCTACCTATGGGGAGCTCTAAAAGACAATAACAACCTTGAAGGATGGTTTCTCAGAGACTAGACCACAGAATATTCCTAGGCTCTGACTGTTTAGGTCATTTTAGCTATTCTCAGAACAAGAAAATAAGAGCCACTGCTTGGGGCAGACAATGGGAGGTCAAATAAAGAGAGAAAATAGAACCAATCAATTTTTTTGTTCCCCACTTTTCTATCAAGGTGGGGGCGGATAAAAAGCAGGAAAGAACACTGGATCAAGAAGCAGAGTGTAAACTAGACTATCTAGGGCCAGACTGTTGGATTTAAATCCTCACTCTGCCATTTCCTGGCTGCTAACCCTAGGCAGGTTACTTAAGCTCTCTGAATGTCAATTTACTGCTCTTTAAAATGGCACTTATAATAGTACTTTTCTCACAGACAGCTGGTATTAACATTTCCCAGATATACAAACATGGAGGTGATTACAGGCACTTTGAGGTAAGGGATCATATCATGCTTGATAAATTGAACTTTTGTGAGCCTCCGTGTATTCACCTACATAATGGGAAAGATAGTACCAACCTCATGAAATTGTTCTAAGTATTTTATGAATTGATACATGTAAGTCATCTCCTCTCTTTGGACAGTAGCTACACTGTGCATATGTGTTTTCTTCTTTTCATTTTGCTGCTCAATGTTTACTGGCTACTGACTTTCTAAATTAGCATGGCACTCTGGATTCTGAGCTCTTTGAACTAGAATTCACACAGCAGCGTCTTCTCCCTCCATTCTTCCCGGGTACCCCGCCACCTCAGTCTCTATTGAGTATTCTCCAATTAGCACTGGACAGTTCACACTTTTGTGCCCTTCTCTGAAAACCCTCCTCTCCTTTCCCCAGATGAATATTCCCTTTTCTTTTCAAATCACAACTCTAGATTTATGTGATTTATGGAGAACCAGGTTAAGTCTATAGCCAAAAAGTCTCCACTAGGCATAGAATTACACTATTCTTTGGGGTCTTAAACAGTATGAAGTCTTTAACATTTTACTACTTAAATCTAATCATCACTAAGAAGAAGAAAATCTTAAACTTTTATTAAGATTTTGTCTGTTTGCTTAGTTGCTAGAAGGTAGTAGTTGAAAGTAACTGAGAACTGGATTAAACTCAGATACTTTGGGACTCCAAGAGTAGAGAAATGTGCTATAACATAAAGTAGAAAGAGTCTAATTTCTATCTAGTTCACATTTTATTAGGACCAATTCTATCTAGAACACTATTTGAAATATTTCATTTCTCCTAAAATGAAGACTTGTGTCTAGATGTATGCACGTATATATTTTTTCTTATTGTTTTATTATGCAAGCTGTCTCAAAGGAGAAATTTTGAGGTCCTGAGAACGTTTTATTTTATTATGTAGATCATATCGACTCATACTACATTTTTAGGTGCCATTTCTTCTATCTAAAAAGAAAAAAAAATGAGGTTCCTTCTTTTTCACTGTCCTGCTGCTTGAAACATAAGCAAATCACTTCATTAGGTAAAGTGTGGGCTGGTCAGATCTGCAAGGGGGATGTTCCAGTGGTTTTTCCCAGACTGAGCAACAGCATCTGGACTCTAAGGGCCAGGAAGGGATATTTAGTCTTCTCAGAGTTTCCCAATAGCTCCATAATCTAAAAGATGTTAAGAGAATTTGTAGAGTGTTCTCTCAGCTCATAATCCTGATCAGGTAAGGAGTTCGGATACATACATGACTCTATGGAATCTTAGACCCGATTTTGTGGGATGACTTTCCAGGTTCTCCCTAAGAAACATGGGAAATGGCTTCCCTTCTAGGCAGCACTTGCCCCATTTAATGCCCTGCAGTCTGATATGCTTGCCTGGATGTCCACCCCTTGGCCTGAGTCACTATCTAGAGTCACAAGGAGTTGGCCCTTGGAATGGCTGCTTCAGATCCCAACCTCCCCAACCACAATGGAGACCAAGGTTATTCTTCTCAAGTACATTGGGAAAA